TTTTGGCTCAGTCCCCAAGACCAAATCTTTTATAACATTAGGTTAACTCCTAGAAGAGTTTGAAGGATTCACTATGATAGGTTAGAATTCTGAGGTCTAATATATCTCAGATATAATACTCAACCAGATTTTCTGAGGTTCTTCAAGCTCATTGTCCTAAATTCATACCAAATCTCTAATAATTGAGAGAACAGATATATTTAATTATTAAGTACTTAACTAGCATTTTACTCTATGTGGGAGGGGGGAGCAAAAATCATAAAATATTAGAAAAGAGTGGTACAAAGTCCCATATCACTTAAAGATTTCATTGGAGTGATAATACAAAGTTGCACTAGATAATTGCCTAGCAACACAAATAGAATGCAACTAGATGTACAAATATATGGATAGTGCTGTATGCTGGACTTCTTTCTGGTTCAGTCTCCAAGATCAGATCTTACATAAAATTGAGTACACTCTTAGACAAGTTTGAGTGTTTGAAAGAGCTAGGATTTATTAAAATTGGTAAAACCCCCAACCATTCAAAGTACAGTAATTTCCTGGCTGGATTAATACAGTGGCAATGTGAGGAGAAACTAGAGGGATGACATTTAGTTAGGAGGTGTTGTAACAATCCAATAAAAGTAATAAAGGTTCCTATTGATAGTAGGAAGAGAAAGGGAAGATGAATGTTTAGATAAGTCAGTGGCACATGGGTTTCAAATTGTGTGCTATATTCAACCTTAAGATATAGTATTGGGATATCAGCAATGATTATGGCAACAATCCTGACTTTTAACAGACTCATAATGATTGATTTAACTGAAAATTGTAAAATGTCAAGAGAGGGAGAGTTGAGTGATAGAAGTGGCAGGAAGTGTGGCTGCAGTCAGGAGCAAGGACATCTTCCCTGAAGATTACCCTTGAGGTCTACCTGAGTCTGCCTTGAATAGTGTCTGATGTGTCTGAATAGTATAAGATATAACCACATACCATGGGTCACCAGACTCTATTCCCTAATTGCAATTCGACAAGTATTTATTAAGCACAACTATATTCTAGTACACTACTAGATTCCTGTAAAGTGTACTGTAGATACATATTTTAAAAGTTAGTTCCATTCTTAAACTACTTACTATCTATACAGAGTAACAAAATAGCCTTCTATATGTAAAACAATTAGAAAAAATAGAATGTAAATGCCAAAGGTACAGTTAGGATAATATTGGCCTTCTTTCAATTTCTTAAACACGGTAATCATGTTTCACCCTCAGTGCAATGGCATAGCCCAACCCTCTGACTGGTACACCACTCCCCACAGGCCCCCTACCCCTGGTCTTCTGCTTGGCTTTCTCTCATCCTGTAGGTTTCAGCTTCAGTGTTTCTTCCTCAGAGGGGACTTCTCTGCTTTCCTGTGTAAAGTAGCCTTTTTCTATTTATTTTTCTTTATAGCAATTTTCAGCACCTTTAATTATCTGATTTATTCACTTATTGGGTCCTTTAATGTCCGACTTCACCACTAGACTATAAACTTCATGAAAGCAAGAATACATTATTTTAAACCACGATATACTCAGCCTCTGGTACAGTACGTAGCACAAAGTAAATGTTCAATAAATATTTGTTTAATAAATACACGAATATTGTTGCTTTTGCTAGTTGAACAGTTTGAACCAATATCATGGGGAATAATTATCTTAAAGACTTAATTTCTGAAAAATGATGAAACAAAAAGTTTCCTGAAGATTTGCAAAAACAGACTTTCAGAATAGTGTTCTGTGAACTGTAGTTTGCTAGTCATTTGTAGTCTAGCAAAGATTTCTGATAGCTCTAATTGCTCCTCTTCCCTGACTCTGTATCTTGTAAAGAACAAGTCTAGCCTTGACATATGAGAAAAACTAAAGATGGAAAAATTTAAAGAACAAATTTAACTATGTCTTATTTTAGGGGATTTTTATTATATACCTTAAAATAAGAAAATCTGTTTGACATATTAGGTATCTGAAAATAAGCTACTCGATATAGCTGCATGAACATGTTGAGATAAAAGCATTTGCAAATCATGCCTTTTCAAGTGTGGTTAAATAAATCTCTATACTTATCTATTATAATTCATAATCATTGCTACTATTCAAATATATTAGGGTTGAACATAACATGAAAATGGAAACTTAAGACAGATTAGCATTCATGGATCTATAGATGACTCATGCTACTGAGGTAACCATTTTCTTCAGGTTTTTCACAATTATGGTATATTTCCCATCCTGAAATACATTTAATATGTAATATTATTAATGCTGAAGGCACACAAATAATGTACAATAATTACTCTAAAAAAGAAACAGGTCCCAACGATTTCTTTTGAATTTTAGACTTACTGTTAATTAAGAATGTTTATAGATAATTTAATATTAGACAGATTGTAACCTTGAATATAACAACTGAAATTAAGAGAAACTTTGTTAAATGCTTCTCTTTAGGAAAATCTTACAAACGATTGTTTAGCAAGGCTATTTGAAACAATTCAAAGCTATAATTATTTTTAGGCTATAGCAAGATAAATTCCGTTTGTTCGGATTTGATCTACCACTAAATTTTAGATTTGAGGACAGTCTCATTTCGATATTTAATATAGCAATTAAATTATAACTTGGAAAGTGAGTTCTATATGCCTGCAGCATGTAGGAATTATGTGAAAATAAGTAACTATGTAGACAACAGACCGTTTCACATACCATGGTGTGAATCCTGGGAAAACCTAGTAGAAGTCATAGCTGAGAACAAACACTTCAAATACAATCCAAACGCCTTTGGACTTATATGGTTTTGGACTCCCTCTAGTGGTTCAACCTTTTGGTGCTTTAATTGGTACTCTTCAGGTCAGAATCACCAAATTTGGGGTTATATTAAAACCAAATGAATAAAAGAAACACACAACTCCTATTAGAACAGTTTTATACAAGAAGTCTCTACCAGCACTGAAGAGTACGATAAATGTGGATATTAAGATAGTTGAAATAATAGTGTTGCAAATAGTGGTTTGACCTAAAAGGACACAATGGATTTAACTGGCTAACTGGAAAAGCTAGTTATAGTTCTGCTGAAATCATGTAGATGAGAACTGAAAGCTCCAGGAACAGGTTTCCTAGTTGCTTTTGTTTGCAATCTAAAGTGAGAATTGGACCTTTTAGGGGAAGGGTGAAGTGAATATTTCCTCGATATATAGGTCCTACAAGGTCAGAGAATTCTAGTTTGACAGTGTATAAAGTCAACTTTTCAGACCAACCCAAAGCAATATGTAGTTTCCTCCACATAATAACTCCAATATCACAGCCTCTACATCTGTTTTAGACCAAATGCAGAAAACTCTAAGTTTGATTTAACTTTATTTGCCTTCCTTTGTTGGCTTTGGTTATCTATCCGCTTTGGCTATATCTTATAAAGAGTCTCCTATCTCTTCTACATGACCATACTGAAAATATGAGGAGGAGGACTCCTATGTTCACTCTATTAAATTTTCACTTCCTGGCCAGTTCTGCACTGTAGATATACATAAATCTATCAACTCTTTTGTATGACAGCCCTTTACATATTTAAGACAGTTATGTCTTCATTAAGTCTTCTTTCCCTTTTTTGATCCTCAAACTTCTTGGAACCAGAACAAAAGAACCTCCATAAGGTACAGGATTCATTACAGAATAACTTAGTGGGCATTTTATTCACACCTTCAGGGGGTCAGTAAAAATATTGGCTTTTTATTTCAGAAGATACGAAACTGTTCTTGAAAAGTCTGAGTTTGGAATCTTTGTTCTCCAAAGAGAACAGAAGCCAATAAGATTAAGAGAAAGAAGAAAATAGGATGTAATGGGTGACTTGCCCATTTCAGGACCTCTTTTTAGTGTGCTAGTTTTTGATTCCTTTTAAGTTATTCTGGCAATGGAGCTGGAAACATACAGCAGAGACCAGATGAGTGACTATGTAATCCAGACGTCAGTCATAGTGTCTGCCTGGGGTTTGGGTAGAGTGAGGCCAGGAACTGGCATTGGTTTTAAGATCCCAGATCTGATTACTGTCCATTGAGAAAACATTGCTATAGAATCTGCAGTTGATTGCAGTTGACCCTTGAACAACACGGGTTTGAACTGCCTGAGTCCACTTATATGGGGATTTTTTTCCCCGATAACTATGTACTGTAACTACAGTACTGTAAATGTATTTTCTCTTCCTTATTTTCCTAATATTTTATTTCTCTAGCTTACTTTATTGTAAGAATATAGCATATATTTTATATATATATATATATAACATGCAAAATGTGTTGAGTGTTTTTATTATCGTTAAGTCTTCCAGCCAACAGTAGTCTATTAGTAGTTAAGTTTTGGGGGAGTCAAATGTTACATGCAGACTTTTGACTGGGGGGGTGTGTCAGCACACCTAACTCCTGCATTTAAGGGTCAACTGTATTTGCATAAATAGAAAAAAAAAAAAACAACCTCCCAGTGTCTTAAGCACACTATCTGCAATGTCAATTTTTTAATCTTATAAATTTGGGTTGCAGTGAACATGGGGAAAATAGAAGTAGAAGAATGTGACTAGGGTAAAAACAGGGAATATTTTTTTTGACTTTGAATATCTGTACCTCTTTTTGGTGAGCAGAATTAAAAAGAATAAGCAATGTATTCCAGCTGATACAGAGGAAAGATAATTCCCTATGAGTGCAAAGAGAATAGCAGGCAGTTTAATGTAGATAGGCATCGCTTCTAATACAGGACTTGGTACTGTCGTGCCCCAAATCGATGATAAGCACTTACCACATGAACGGAAGAGGTTATGATTAAGTCGTTGTTAAAGAACATTAAGAGTAAACCAGGAATCTGAACAGAGTGTATTGGTGTGCCGCAAATAAGTCAGATGGCCTGGTTTTTCTTCTTTCCCCTCTTCAAAGGATTTAAAATGCTACACTATGCTTCTCTCTTGCTATGCTGGCCCTTTCCTTTACGAAGGCATACAAACATGCTGGACCTCACAAACAGGTTGGAACACAGGTAATTGAAGACTTCAAGGCTGTATTTCTCAGCTACCACAAGTCACCTAAGACATTAACACCAGAGCACTCCAAAATACTGTGTCCATGAGGGAGGTTGCAGTTTTTTCACAAAGCAGTCTTTAGGCTGACATTCCAAAAGCCCAGGTAGTGATGCTCGAATCCGAGAGCCAAGGAAAGAGCATGCTATTCCAGCGACTCTCCAAACCACGATCATTAGACCTCGTGAAGTTAGCTTACGCTGCCTCCCAGACACCAGTAACAAAGGTTTCGTTCATAAAGTTCTGGAATAGGCGACTGGATTTCATCAAACAGGACACAACAAAATAGATCCCGCGGGGCCAAAATGTCTAACTTTCCGATTGGCTCTTTCGGCCTCCACTCAGGGGCTAGTAACTGAGTGTCTTTTCTGGCGCATGCGTGTCACCTGCTTCCGGTCACGGTGCTCGGTGCACTGGTTTTTCTGCCCGGCTGGAATTCCTACCTCACTTTCTTCATTCAGCCTTGGTGTGCAATGGCTCCGGACTCAGGTCTCTTTGATGAAGGGCCGCTCTTAAAGCTCATACCCTTAGACACTAGGGACCGGGGCACCCAGCGCTGTCGCCTGGGTCCGGCAGCGTTCCATGCCTTGGGAGCGCACTTGGGCTCGGCGGTGAAGATCTCGCTGCCTGATGGCGGCTCCTGTCTCTGCACCGCCTGGCCGCGGCGGGACGGAGCGGACGGCTTTGTGCAACTGGATCCGCAGTGCGCGAGCCCGGGGGCGGCAGTGAGGGCGCCGGGGTCCGCGGGTAGTCTCAGCCTGAGCCGCCTCCGCCTAGTGCCCTGTCCACCCCTTCGGCGCCTCACCGTGTGGCCAGAGTTGCGGGAGCAGGATGGCGCGCCCGGTTCCCTGAATCCAACTGCCGTGCTGGAGGCAGCGCAGGAGCTGCTGAGGAACCGACCGGTCTCCCAGGGCCACGTGGTGGCCGCTCCGCCGCGCGCCCCCGGCCCAGTGGCCGCCCTGCACATCGTCAGCGGGGTGCCGAGCCCGGATCCGGCCGGGCTGGTCACGCCTCGCACCAGCATCATTCTCAGCGGGGAGGCACCGTCGGAAGCGCAGCCGCAGCCGCAGCCCGAGGTGCCCCTGGGGGGCCTTTCGGAGGCATTCGACTCGCTGCGGGAGCTCCTCTGCCTGCCGCTCCGCTACCCCCGCGCCTTAGCCGCGCTGGGGCTAGCAGTGCCGCGCGGGGTGCTCCTGGCGGGGCCCCCTGGAGTGGGCAAGACCCAGCTGGTGCGGGCAGTGGTCCGGGAGGCGGGCGCGGAGCTTCTGGCAGTGAGCGCCCCCGCCCTGCAGGGGACCCGGCCTGGAGAGACCGAGGAGAACGTGCGGCGGGTCTTTCAGCGCGCCCAGGAGCTGGCCAGCCGTAGGCCCACCCTCCTCTTTCTGGACGAGGTGGATGTCCTGTGTCCCCGGAGGGGCGGTCCACACCAAGCCCCCGAGAGCCGCGTGGTGGCCCAGGTGTTGACGCTGCTAGACGGCATCGGTGGGGACCGCGAGGTGGTGGTTGTGGGATCCACCAACCGGCCGGACGCGCTAGACCCAGCGCTTCGCAGACCTGGAAGATTTGACCGGGAGGTAAAAAGGCCAGGCCAGTTAGTCCATTGCCCCTGGAACCTTGGCCTCTTTTGGCCCTGGTTGGCTTCCCCAACCAGGCGTTTGTCACTTAGGTTCGGAAGTCAGTGAGGCTGGAGTGGGTTTTTTTTTGTAATGCAGAGAACACGTTCTCTGCCCATATATGATCTGCTAGCCAGGACCTCTTTTTCCTAAGTCAAATTGTTCTGAGAAGCAAGGTGGTCAATTAGGGATTAGTTTTGTTGTGCAGGCCCTGAAGATGAGTACTATAATCAGTAATGTTAAATTTTAAGGGAACTAGGTCTGCACATTCTCATGAATGTAGAATGAGAATTTAAAGTAGAAGGATAGCCTCAAGACATGTATGTTAAAAGGGTGAAGGCAGGGAGGAGGTAAATCAGAGCAGACATTAACTCATCTGGACTTACTCATTTCTTCCCAGGATGCCTGCATCCTATCCTACAGGTATGCACAATTCCTCCCAGGAAGGCTGAGTATTAAAAGCTGTCCTGTTTTATAAGCTTCAGTCCTAAATTGATTCTTGATTTCTATTAAATAGTTTGAATAATGGTTAATTTAAGTGATGTTTGAACTTTATGGTAGGATTCTAAAGAGACATGATAATTGCACACTTAGCTCAATCCGTTTTGAATTTCATGGATTTCTTTCTGGCACAGTCTAGTACCACTCCTGAATAAGCTTCATGAGGACCTGGACCTAGACTATCTGGTTTACTGTTGTATCTCTGACTCTTAGAAGTTGGTACGGTCTCAAAAATAACAAAAACTTGTTAAATGACATATATAATTTTCATTGTACAACTTCCTAGCCAGCATTCCTCTTCTGGAAAATTAGGCTTTTTGTATATTTAGAATCTAAGGTATGCTTAAGAGTACATAGTAATAGTTCCAAATATGCTCACTAAACTTTTATACACATTTGTGAGGATAAGAAATATTTTAAACTGTAAACTTTGATTTTTCTTTCTTTTTTTGCTCTGTATCCAGGTCGTTATTGGGACTCCCACATTTAAGCAAAGAAAGGAGATTTTACAAGTGATTACCTCAAAGATGCCCCTCTCAAGTCAAGTTGATTTGAGCCTCCTTGCAGAAATGACAGTTGGCTATGTTGGCGCAGACCTCACCGCACTCTGTAGGGAGGCTGCCATGCATGCTCTGCTTAATAGTGAGAAGGTAGGAAACACTGTTTTATGACCACATACTTTTTTTTTTTTTATTAATGTAACATTAATTTGGGAGATTAAAAAAAGTGGTAAGTACATTTTCTGGGAACTTTTGATACCTTCTACAGCTTTTTTTAGGTATACATTTTTACATCTGAAACATTTTGAGTATATACTACAGCCATAATGCCCCTTTAGCTTTGAAAACTCAACCGTATATTTTCTAAAGACAAGAACTTTAACCACAGTGCAATTATCATGATGAGGAAATTAACACTGACATGATACTTTTACCTAATCTATGTAGACCTTATCCAAATTTCACCATTTGTCCCCCTAATTTCCTTTAGAGCAAAAATTTAATAAAGAAAAAATATTTTTAATCCAGGATTACATATTGCATTTAGATGTCATGACTTCTTAATCTTCTTTAATCTAGAACCATTCTTCAATCTTTTTTTTTTTATGATTAACTTTTTAAGAGTACAAGCCATTCATTCTGTAGACTATTCCTCAGTTTCAATTTGACTAATGTTTCCTCATAATTTGATTCAAGTTTTGCATTTTTTGTAGGCATATGACAGAAATGTTCTTCTCACTGTGTCTATTAGGTAGCGAATGGTATTTCTTTGTCCTATTTCTGATGAAGTTAACTTTGATTTCTTGGATAAGGTGGTGTCCCTGATATTTCTCCATTGTTAAGATACTATTTCCTTTTGTTATTATAAGTGTCTTTTAGGAAAAATAACCTTTTCTAACTCAGGAGAGGATTGAGTGCCTGGAATTTTATTTAAATTTGGCTTTGACATTCAAATCTTTAATTCATGACTACCTTTCTTAAAAGTATGTAGGATGTTAGCTTAATTTTAAATATGATAGTTTTCAACACTATGGTTTGGAAAATCTATTCACCTTGTAAGTAATAAGTAATCTTAAATTCCTAAACCCCTTCAGAAAAAAATTTCAGCATGCTGAGATTCTGAGACAAAATTTTTAATCTGTTGTAACATTAAAATTGTCTTTTGATCTTTTAATTTTTAAAACCCACTTTTGAGGTTGTTTAAACTATAAAAGAATGACATCCTAAATTTTGAAAAACTTTTTACTTAGATAATTTGTATCCTTCCTCATTTCTTTTTCTTTTATTTTTACTTTTACACTAAAAGTGGGGAAGGAGTTATATGAACTTGTTAAATTCTCATCTGGGTTTGGACCCGAAACTGCTTGAAGATTTAATGATAAGTCCCATGTGTAAAAGTGTGAGAATATATGCCTTTGAAGGGATGAAGAGAATACCAGGGATGGGAAAGGAGATTTCCATTTAGGATTCCCTCTGCTTTGAAGTTCCAGGTTTGACCTTAAGCACCTTGGCTTAGGTGGACCAGCCAGCTGCTGTCATCCTAGGGTGGAGCCCACTGCTACTTGAGGAGGGGCCTGCCCAGGCATAGTTACTACAGGTGATGGCTGAGTTCATAAACAACCAGGGGAAGTGGAAGAAAGGCAAAAAGGAAGAAGGGACAGAGGCATCTGGAGAGGTACTGGCTCCATCATTTTCTTCTTTTCCCCTCCAGGCAGCTAAGGGGCTGCTGCTGCCTCTTTCTGTGCCAGGGCAGACAAGGGACGCCTTAAAGTTTGTTCAACTTTTTGTGAAATATTCCTCTTAAAGGATGAGAATTATAGTTTAACATATACACATATTCACACAGAGGGGAAAGAATTTTATCTGCCTGAGAGGATTATGAGAATCAAATGAAACAATGTACACACTATGATCTTGAAATGTAAATAGGATTTTCAAATATTAGTGGGTGTTACCTAAAAATTAGTATTCAAGTACCCAATATCTAATACTGCTGGCCAGTAAACAAACAAACAAACAAACAAACAATTTAACAAAATAATAGTGTTCTTTGTGAGAAATTAAACAAGATAAATAATTATAAGGAAAGTAAAAATTGCCTGAAATCTCACCTCCCAGAGATTATAATTATTAACATTTTTAAAAACTGCTATTTAGAATAGCTCCATACATACATATTTATTTATATAATCTTATATAAATGGAATAAAATAGTTTGTTATTGAAATTGGGAATTTTTCGACAACTAAATGTTCAGAATTTGATATAAAAGAGCAAATACTTAACTATAACACAGATATTACAAATAGAAACATAAGGAATTTTTAACTGTAACAAAAAATATGCTTCACTAGAATGATTAAGGGAATTGCAATAAGGATTCTCCAAAATATTATCTTAGAATGAAGATGGCCTTTCTTAACCTAACATAAAACATAATAGTCAAAAAGGAAATGACTTACTAATTTGACTATTTTGGAATTGGAAAATAATACTATACCAAAGATAAGACATGAGACAGACTGGGAAAAATACTTTTTACCCATGTCAAAAAGACCAATTACCTTCATATAGAAATAACTGTCACATATCAATAAGAAAAGACCAACAATCCAAGATAAAATGGGTTATAAAATATGAACAGGTAGTTGACAGTAAAAGGATTATAAATGGCCAATAGACAAAAACTTCTCATCTTTACCTTCTTTAAAGATTAGTCTCTTTCAGTTTTGTTTTAAACTTTCTATTTTGAAATGATTAAAACTTCAAGGAGAGTTGCAAGATAGAAAACTCTTGCTAAATACTTTATCTAAATTTTTAACATTCTGCCTAATTAGCTTTATCATTTCTCTCTCTCTCTGTATGTATGGTATATATGTATATGTGTATACACATCATTTTTTTCTGAATCATTTGAGGATGGGTTGCATACGTCATAACCCATTATCCTTTTATATTTTAATGTCTATTTCCTAAGAACATAAATGTTCCCATACATGACTACTATATGGTTAGGTATAATCATTATATTCAGGAAGTTTAACACTGATACAAAATGTTATCAGCTCTACAGTCCTATTCTGATTTTGGTAATAGTTTCAATCTTTTTAGCACTCTTTTCCCTCCAGTACAGGATCTAGTTCTGGATAATGTATTACACTTAGTTTTTAGTTTCTCTTAATCTTGAATACTTACATAGCCTTTTTTTTTTGTTGAGGGGGTGGGAGTAGGGGAAGACATTTTACATTGACCTTTTTTAAGGATGCAGGTCAGTGATTTTATAGACTACCTCTCAATTTGGGTTTGTTTAATGTTTCTTCATAGATTCAAGTTTGCATACTTGTTGGGAATACGACCTAAGTGGTAGTGTGCCCTTCTTAGGGTATCATATGTGGAGGTACAAGATATCCACTGTCCCTCAGTGGTGATGCCCCTAATTGGTGACTGATGTGATCAACCTGTCGAGGTTTTGCCCAGTTTCTCCACTGTGTAGCTGCTATTTTCCCTTTGCAACTAATAAATCTATGAGGAAACCCTTTGAGATCGTGCAAATATCCTGCTCCTCGTCAAACTTTCCCTTCCCTAGATTAGTATTCATTGATGATTCTTGCTCAAAACAGCCTTTACTATGGTGGTTGCGAAAAAGGTGATTTTCTAATCCCGTTATTCCTTCTATCTCACTCTCAATTAAAGAAATTTAATTAATACAATAGTACCATTTCCTCTGTCACATTGGCAGAAATTTAAAAGTTTGGTAATATCCAGTGTTGGAGAGGTGTGGGGAGAATAACAGCTTCATTTTATTGATGTAGCTTTGAGGACAGTTTAGTAATAGCTATCACAACTAAATGTGCATGCTCTTAAACCCTGTAATTCTACTCTGAGGAAATTATTATATAAAATACTTGACAAGCTCACAAGCCCTTTCAGTTGTTTCAACTTTGTTTTTAATAACAAAAAACTGGAAACAACCTAACGTTCAAGGATATAGTTAAATTATGGTACATTCATAGAATAGTATGTTATGCAATTGTCAAAAAGAGTGAGGTAGAGCTATATTAGTTGACATGAAAAGATTTCTAAGATAAATAGGAAAAAGTACAAATTTATATGTATAGTATGCCCTCATTTATGTGTCTGTTTGAAAGTGTATGCATATGCTTATTATTATAAAACATACTGGGATGATACACAGGAAACCATTGACATCCTCTGAGGATGAATGTTGGGCTAGAGAGAGAGAGTTAATTTTTGTACCATGTGTATAAATCTCTTTATAAAGATAAAATAGATTTACAAATTCAAAAGAGAATTTAAAAAAAAAATAATTGTGTTTATATATCACAAAAAAGTTCCAGCTCATTTTTGGTTTGTTTTTGCTTTTTTGGGTGTGTTTCTTCAGAACCAGGACAATCCGATGATTGCTGAAACAGACTTCCTTGAAGCTTTTAAAAAGATTCAGCCTTCATCCTTTCGAAGTGTCATTGGACTGATGGACATCAAGCCAGTTGGCTGGGAGCAGATTGGTGGCCTCGAAGATGTAAAACTGAAGTTAAAACAGGTGAGATAGAGAATCTGCTTAAGCCGGTAGACTACTGCAGTTTAAGAGTAATGCGTTTATGATGGAAACAAGCTACACTGAAACTGCTCTTATTGCTATCACTAACGCAATCGTAAAAACTAAATCCAGTGATTCCTTTCAGCCCTAATTTAATCGGACTTCTGTAGGTATCAAATACTGTTTTTCATACTTCCCTACTTCACCCTCTTTCTGTTTTTTTTTGTTTCTTTGTTTTGCTTTTTTTGCTTTAGAGAGTTTATAATCTAGAATAGGTGTCAGCAAACTTTTCTGTAAAGGGCTAGATAGTAAATATTTTAGGCTTTGCGATCCTTATAATCTTTGTTGCAACCACTCACCTCGGCTGTCGTAGCACAAAAACAACAGACAATACAGAATGAGTGCTTGCATTCTGTTCAAACGTTATGAACACTGAAATATTATAATTTTCACATGTCATAAAATATTATTCTTTTTTTTTCGAGCATTTAAAAATGTAAAAATGATTCTTAGCTCATGGGCTGTACAAGTACAGGTGGTGAGCCTTAGTATGGCCTGGATGGCTACTTGATACTGGTTCTCACAGTGAACGTTGAGGGACACAACTCTTCAGATCCTCTTACATGCATTTCAGTTTTAGAAATTGATTTTGCCAATTTACCTTCAGGTGATCCTGCCATAAGGATCTAGGTTTCTTTAACTACTCCCACAAAAAGACGATTTATAAGTATCCATTATAATATAGGGTATATTATAATTGTGGATAAGCACAATTATAATATACCCTAATTTTTTACATGCACTGTCTCATTTAATCTTTACAAAACACATGAGAGAGATTAGCCACACTGTCCTGTTGGAAACACTTTCTTTAGCTTTGAGATGTTAAGCTTTATGCATTTCTTAACACTCTCTCCTGTATCTTAAATGCTAGTGCTCCAAGTTCCTGGGAGTCATCCTGTTTTTGCATTCTCTCAGTAAGTCCATGATCTCCTCGATGTCCAAGGCTTCAACTGTACCCTGAGAACTGTTAACTCAAGAGCTTTATATCCAGCTCAGATAGTTCTTTTGATAGAACTACTTAGTTGCCTGCCTACTGGATCAATTCCAGGGATCTTAAAACTCAGCTTGTCCAGCATTTATCTCATCAGTTCCACCTCTACACCTGGATTCCCTGCCTCAGTGAATACAGCCAGCCACCCCATACCCTAAGTCAGAAACCTGTCTTCTAAATTCATGGGGTCATGCCATTTGTGTATGTAACTTCCCCTCTGTATTTAGAACTTAGTTCTTGCGTAAAATACAGTTACGTTTTATGTTTCGAATCCATCCCTTCCACATCATCCCCACTGCCTGTGATATATCCACCTTATATTTGCAGTCTAAATCATTGCAAGAGACTTCTAACTGGTGTCCCTGCCTCGAAGTTCTTTTCTTTCCAGTCCATTGACCATACTGCTTCCTCATTGCTGCCTAAAACTTTCAAAGTCCATTGGGATCTCGACTCCTCCCTTCACTTCAACTGGGTTGCTCCTTGCTTCCCCCATCCTCCCCTCTGTTCTTGTTTACTGTTGGCAGGATGCATTAGATGGTTTCATGTGTCTCTGTATGTATTGTTCTCTGTGGAATGCCCTTCTCTGGCCTGGTCTTAGTTTACAAGCCTGTCTCTCCAGCTAAAATATGAGTTCCCTAGGTACAGAGGTCTTATCCCTTTTTTGTAGAGGGACAGCTTATCAGTAGGTAAGAACTTGTGCTTTTGATTTACACTGCCTGGGGTCAGTCTTAGTTCTGCTACTTGACTAGCAATAACACCTGGGCAAGTTACTTTTCTAAGCCTGAATTTCAACATCTGCAAAATTATGATGATAATAAAACTATCTACCTCAGGAGTAGCGAAGATTTATTTACTATTCAGTTAATATTTATTGAGTGCCTACTTTGTGAAGGTGTTGTTCTAAGTGCTGGAGATTTAGAGTTGAACTTTACTTACATTCTGGTAGAAGCAGAATGACAAACCCAACATGGAAAAAATAATAATTTCAGATAAGTGCTCCAAAAGTAAAAGATGGGCAGTAGTATAGAGTGACCAAGAGGATGAGAGTCAGCTTTAACTGGAGTGGTTAGAGAAAACCTCTCTAAGGAAATAATATTTGAGCTGAGACCTCAATGATGAAGGATGGCTGCACAAAGATTTTGGAGGAGTGTTCAGGGAGAGCGAATAGCAGGTAAAGACCATGAGATGGGAATGAACTGGAGTGTTTGGGCAATAGTCAGGCTGTGTAAGACCTTGTAAGCAGTCATAGGTGAGGATTTTGGATTTGGAATTTATTCTAATTCTGATGGGAAGTCATTGAAGGATTTTAAGAGGAAGCGATGTGACCTGACTTAGGGTATAAGATCACTGGCTGCTGTGTGAAGAATGGACTGCATTTCCAGCTCATAACAGGTACCTGAGAATTGTCGAACAAATGAATTTACTGAATTATTTAATGTTTTATTGTTATATTAAAACAACTTTTATTTTTGTGTACTTACAGAGCATCGAATGGCCTCTGAAATTCCCTGGGGAATTTGTTAGGATGGGTCTGACACAACCAAAGGGTGTTCTCCTGTACGGGCCTCCTGGATGTGCCAAAACCACCCTGGTGAGGGCGCTGGCCACAAGCTGTCATTGCTCTTTTGTTTCAGTGAGTGGAGCTGATCTCTTTTCACCTTTTGTCGGAGATTCAGAGAAAGTCTTGTCTCAGGTTTGTTTGTTTATTTTCCTCCAAGTAGTTAAGTTTACTTTTGAATTTTCATTTCATGCTTTAAGGATAAATGTTATTTTAAAAAATGTAACTGGCTTTTTTTTCCTATTAGAAAAGTTATACATACTTATAGAAAATTTAGAAAATATAGTAAAATGTAAATAAATCCTCCATAATTCCTCTACTTACATTAACATTTTGGTGAATTTCTTTTGTCTTACTGTGTCCTTGGGCAGGAGATATTTATGTGTCTTTATGGTGATTTTTTTAACTTAACATTATCACTTAAAATTCTATATTAAAAATTCTTTGATAATATGTTTTTTAACCCCTACATAATACTCCATTATTCCTTGTTTTTTTATGCATTCCTCATTTCTTAGACATTTAGAATCTTCCTCTTCTTTTTACATGTTAAAAATTATGAATGAAAATGTAGAAAACATACATTCATATGAGTAAGGCATAATGTATAGCTTTTTAATATTTTTTATTCTCTTAACAAAGGTATTTCGACAAGCAAGAGCAAATACTCCAGCAATTGTGTTTCTGGATGAAATTGATTCAATCTTGGGGTCTCGATCAATCAGCAAAACAGGATGTAATGTTCAAGAGAGTGTTCTTTCTGTTCTCCTGAATGAATTAGATGGTGTTGGACTGAAGACTATAGAGAGAAGAGGAAGTAAATCAGATCAACAGGGTAAATACAAGGAGCTGAAAAAAAATGAAGAGGTATTTATTAGCCAGAATACACCAAAAATCCACGCCAACATTAAATAGAATGCATCTACATTCGCTTTTCCTGTGCTGGATTCATGTCACAGAAAGAATTATATAATTTTAATTTGCCTCTATTAGGATTTTCACAGAGCTGGTAAAATTGTGATTTAGCTGAGAAAGTAAGGTAAATTTTATAATAACTTATATATTAATGTGAATTTTATTTATCCTAAGATTTAGAAATATAGCTTTACATATTGCTAATGGAAAAGGGAATTTCTTTTAATTTTTATATCCTGATAAACCAGTGTTCATCCTTTCTAAAATTTTTTTATGTGAGACAAAACATTATTATTTCCAATAATCTTAGTAATTGAAAACTTTTAGTTTCCTCAAGGAATAGTTTTCCTTGGTTATAATGAAGTTAAAATGGCCTTTGGAAGTCCTCTTCCTCCCTTCTGAGTCTTCTCCAGGTAGAGTTTGGTATCTTTAAATAATCCCTGACAGATCATTTTTATTTTATTCTCTTCTTGTTATTATTTCACATTTTTAAAATTTTTCCGTGGAAGAGGAGACTCTTACGGCTTCTTAGGAACCTATTCCACTAGAATTCAAAGGGACCCATGAGGTTTTCTAATCAAATCTCTTCATAACAGGAATTCCTTCTATAGCATCTGAGAGGTGTTCACTTAGCCTCTGCTAAAATACTTGCAGATATAGGGAACTCCCTACTTTAAGAGATCACATTACTGGAGAACTAACTCTGATTATTCAGTTCAACAAACAATTTTGAATGCTTAGTGTATGAGGCCTGGCTGCTTTTAGATATTTTTTGTCTGTATCTAGGATTTATATACCTGTAGCTTATGTTGATTGTCATATTTCTGCTTAAGGAAAGAAAAATAAATAAAAAATGAAGTAAATCTCCCTCTTCAAAGACATGAGAACCTAGACTTTTATTTTTTTTTTTTATCGAGATTTTTTTTTTTTTTTTTTAGCATTTTATTTTATTATTAGTTTCAAGAGCACAGTACATTGGTTAGACATTTATATAGTTTATGAAATGATCCCTAGATTACTCTATCACCCCTCCGGCTCTCCACTTAGCCATTACATTACTGCTGACTGCATTCCCTATACCATGCTCCCCATTCCTGCGACCATCTATCAACTACTAATTTGTACTTTTTTAACCCTTCACCTCTTTCACCCAGCCCCATAAACCGCCCCCCTCTGGTTGTCACTAGATTGTCCTCTATATTCATGAATCTGTTTTCGATTAGTTCTTTTTGTTAGATTCTGCATATAAGTGAAATCATATGGTATTTATCTTTTTCTGTCCAACTTATTTCACTCAGCATAATAACCTCTAGGTCCATCCATGTCATTTGCAAATGGTAGAATTTCATTCATTGTATATATGAACCATATATAACTTATTTATTCAGTTGTCTGTTGATGGGCATTTAGGTTGCTTCCATATCTTGGCTATTGTGAATAGTGCTGCAATGAACGTAGGGACACATAGATCTTTACAAATTATTGTTTTTGTTTTCTTTGGCTAAATACCCAGAAGTATAATTGCTGGGTCAAAAGGTAGATCCATTTTTAATTTTTTGAGGAACCTCCAGACTGTTTTCCGTAATGGCTGCACCAATTTGCAATCTCACCAACAGTGCAAGAGGGGAGAACCAAGACTTTTCATAGCCATATATCTCTGTGTTAGTATTAGTCATATGCTTCTGTCTTTTCAAGTTATCCATTTAAATTGTGATCATTCACTAGGGCTTAGGGCCCTCAGGCACCAGATTTTTTCTGCTGTGAAGTAAGGCTTTTCATCAGTTCCCACATGGAGAGATGTCTCTTACAATTGGCTACTTTCTTTACCGTATGAACAGAGTAGCTCTTTGATTAATAATTTGTTTTTAGGGTACCTTGATATGGAGAATGTAGTCTGGATAGGAAGTGTAAACATTTCCAGTCCCAAGAAAAAGATATCCCTTTTTAAAAACAAATGGACCTTCTGATTTGTAATTTAAAAAAAATACATTTAATAATGAACAGTTTATTGACATTACTTTGTATTGTGTGTTTTCCCTCAGTTAGAATTTCAAGAAGTTTTTAATCGAAATGTCATGATTGTTGCGGCAACAAATAGACCTGATGTGTTAGATGATGCCTTGTTACGGCCTGGAAGATTAGATAAGATTATTTATATTCCACCTCCAGATGAAAAGGTAATCATTGTACACATTTACTTTGTATGAATGTTCTTAACAACACATTAATGTCTGCTTTAAAGAGCTCAGCAGAATTCAGTCCCAAACTGCATGTGAATGTATGTGGTATGTGTCGTCTACTGGGTTCTGCATTCTTTCTTGCCTGGTGGCCCTTCATAAACCATCATTTCAATCTGCTTTTGTTGGGTACTCTCTCCCTGTTTTAATATAAGCCTAAAAGTAAGGTAGTTATTTTAGTCGAGTTTGTTGGATCTACTCAACGTTGTTTTGCAACTAGAATGGAGGAATCGTAAAATGCTAAAAGGGAGTAAAAGCATTTTGGAGATTATCTGGATCAGCAACCTTATTTTACAGTGGAGAAATCTGAAATTATAGAGATTACACGATGTATTTACAGCCAAAGAATCAGTGAATTTGTTGCCCTTAACATCCAGAGCCACTGTCAGGGAATAGTGAAAGACAAAGAATGAATTTTTTTTCCTTTCTTGGGCTTTTATCAAGTTTTTGAAAGGATGAGAAAAAAATTTTTCGTGTCTATTTTTAAATATGTCTGATCATGTATTTACTTTTAAACATGTCTGATGGCACTCTTTGTAACCAAGAGAGAAATTCATTATGTCCGTTTGGCTATTTTAAAAATTAACTATAAAAATATCAAAATTTTATCATGATGTTATTGTTGTTACCATCATCATATGAGCCGTTGATGAGTTAATCTTTCTTAGCTCTAAGAGAAGTGATTCTTTCTTATTGTTTGATTCTTAGGTATACTTTCTCTGTAATAAACTCTAACTTGAAATGTTTTAATATAGCATCGTGTCAAACATTAAGGTTATAAACAATTTTTATTTTCTAGGGCAGGCTTTCTATTTTGAAAGTCTGTACAAAAAATATGCCATTGGGGCCTGATGTTTCTTTAGAATACCTAGCAGCAGAAACCTGTTTTTTCTCTGGAGCTGATCTTGGAAACCTCTGCAAAGAAGTAAGTGAATTAGCGAAGAAACCTGTTTGAAACATTCCTTCATTTATTCAGATCTTATTCACCTGTCAGCATTTACTGAAAGATGTCTACGTGGCAGGCACCATGTGAGGTGAAACAGACAGATGTGGCCCCTTTCCTCACAGAACTTACAAGTTGATGGGGGGTGTGCAGAGAGACAAATTGTAATCCTGAACTGGCAGTTGAAAATATGTAGTGAGTTGGGGAAGTTTACAGTGCTGTGGAAGGACCTAGGAAGGAAACCATCAACAATTGGGTGTCATAGAAGGCTTTCTGAGAAGAGGGCATGTAAACTGCAATTGGGAGGATGATGAAGGAGTTAGCCAGGCAAAGGGAGGAAAGGAGAGTGTTTGAGGCAGAGGAAATACACTGTGTAGATGATTGGAGATAAGAAATGACATGGCATTATTGAAGAGCTGGACAGATCACACAGGTCCTTGTAAGCCACTTTAAGACATTTAGACTTTGAGGGCAAAAGAAGCCATTGCATGTTCTTCCTTTTCCATAAACTTTTATAAAATATAACCTTCAGGAAAATGCACAGATCATAAGGATACAGTTCATTGAATTAACATAAAGTGAACACATTTGAATAACCACCACTTGTGTCAAGAAAGAACATGATCAACATCTAAAACCTTCCCTTGGGCCTTTCCACTCTATCCCAAAGGGAACCACTCTCCTGAACATTTGGGTTGCTACCGTTTTGCTATTTTGATTATGCTGCTATGAACAGTCTTGTATATGTCTGTTAGTATACATGTGTATGTATGTCTATTTCATGTATATATACATCTACACAGAGAATTTCACAGGGTATGTGTTTGATCTGTTCCTTAATGAGCAGTGCTGTGTCCTGTTTAGAAACTCCTACTCTGAGGTTGGGAAGATAGTCTCTCATCTTTAAAATATGTTTATGGGTTCATAATTTATATATTATTCTGCAACTTCTTTTTTTTCCCCCATTTAAGGCTAGAGTTTAATGTAGAAGAAAAGATGGTCTACTAAGAAGACTTTTAATCACTTTTTTATAGTGTCACGAATATTGGAATTCTATGAAGTGAGGCTGAGATTTTTGCATTCAGGCTTTAAAGTATTACCATATATTATAATAACAAAAATGAAGCAAATTAATTACCTCCTATTGTTTATCTCTCATAGGCAGCCTTGCTGGCTCTACAAGAAGATGGACTAGAAGCAACTACAGTGAAACAAAAGCACTTTCTAAAGTCACTTAAGACTGTAAAACCATCCTTAAGTCACAAGGATTTGACTTTACATAAAAACTTATTTCAGAAACAAGGATTTTCTAACGTAGAGGACATTTAAAAATTACATACCTGCTTAAGGATTAATTGAAATATGAACTTGCATTATAGTTTACAAATTCACTCTTTTAGAGTTTGCATGCATGTTTTTTCTTGTAAATAAAAACGCTTGTGCCTGATAAACTAAGGTTCATCTTATTTCTAAAAGGTATATTAAAATACAGTAGTTTAGGAAGAAAGTATATGTATGTTGATTTTGTAGTTGGGGTGGTGGTTTTTATTTGTTTGGTTTTGGTGGATTGCCTTTTTAAACTTTATTTTGAAGTAATTTCATACTTACAGAAAAGTTGCCAGAATACTACAAAGAACTCTTATAAACTCTGAACTTGGATTCACCAGTTTTTAACATTTTGCTGTATGCTGAACTACAGGCATACCTCATTTTATTGTGCTTTGCTTTATTGCTCTTCACAGATATTGTGCTTTTCACAAATTGAAGATAAGATCCTCCATCAGCAAAAAGATTACAACTCGCTTTATTGTGATACTTGTTTTATTTGGTGGTTTGGAACCAAACTTGTAATATCTCTGAGGTATGCCAGTATTTAAGAATAGATATTATACTTAATGCCCCTTTGTCCCCTTAATACTTCATGTATATTTCTTACAAATAAGGTTATTGTATGACCACAGTGCAGTTATCAAATTCAGGAAATTGAACATTAATACAGTATTTTAGTCTATTGTCCCATGATTTTCATCCATTGTGCCAATAGTAATATTTTTTTCCCATTATAGGATCCAGTCTAGGATCATATAGTCCAATAGTTGTCCCATCTCTTTAGCCGAAACAGTTCCTCAGTCTTTCTTGTGACATTTTTGAAGAGTACAAACTAATTATTTTGTAGAATAATTGGTTCCTGTTTGTGTTTGTCTGATAGCTTATCATGATAGATTCAGATTATGCATTACAAGTGGAGCACTACATAGTGCTATCATGTTCTCAGAGATCACAGCTAGAGGCATGTGATGTCTATATTATTGGTAATGTCAATTTTGATCTCTTGTTTATGGTATTGTACAGTTTCTCCACTGTATAGTTATAATTTTTCCTTTTGTAATTAGAAGTGTGTTTTTTAAGGAGCTAGATTATTTTCCATTATTACAAAAGTAATTAGAATGATAGAAAACACAGATAAACCCAAAGAAAACACTTGTGCATTTAACCTTCCAGTTTATGCATGTATAGATAAGATGTGATACTATGCAACTTTTGCTTTTCAAACCTAACAATATCTGGTAAGCATTTTCCTTAGCCGTTTTTTACCCACAAGATGCCATAGTAGGTGCTGGAGTGTAAGTGAATGAGACAGAGATGGCACTAATAGGCCATTTGGGAACACGGACATCAGACAAATCATGCAGTGAAATACGTTCCACCAGGAGACATGCTTCAAAAATATAGGGTGCAATCAGAGCATAGTACATGAAGTAGATGAAGTCATAAATGTTAAGCAGTCAATAGGAAGTTTTCTATTTCTGATTGGAGCCAGGACTCATTGTGTAAGTAAAACCTCACTATTTGGGGAATAATTAAAGAAAAGATCTGTCTTATAGGTATAACATATAATTCAATTAAAATTATTCTAACACATTGACTCCTTGCTTTTGAGCAGAAGGGGAAATACCTAGAAAACTTAGTAGAATTCTGACAGCTTTCATTCATGTTCTCTATCAGTTTTTGATTTTATAGGGCAAGGCGGCCATTAAACCTTTGCCATCCCTAAGCCTGAGGTACACTGGTCTGAATCCCTTAATTCAGATTCTAGCTGTAGGTACTTATTTTTTCCTAGAAGTTTCTAGTGGTCGGGCTGGAAATTCAGTACCCATACTTTGGTTAGAGGTTGCATTCTGATTTGAAAATGGCTTTTTAATTGTAATTATAATTTCTCAACAGAACTTTGGAAGCCCCCTGAGAACAAAAACTGTGTTTCCTCTCATTGAAATAATAAATGATGAAGTCATCAAGGATTTCTTTGACTTAGGTTTTTTTTAAAAAAATTTAAGTTGGTTAGGGGTGGCTCCATAGTGTAGTGGTTAGCACGTCTGCTTTACACGTAGAAGGTCCTGGGTTCATGCCCCAGGTGGAGCCATGGACCATACCCCGGGTGCGCCAGACCCTCCGAGTGCGCTGGGGTTGCCAGGCCCCAGGTGTGCCAGGCCCTGGGTGCATGCCATGAGCATGTGGGAGGAGATGCCCTGCCTTCAGAGATCCAGTTCTTAAGAGGAAATGGCAACATCCATAGGTCTGGGGTGGATATGGGGGGTGAGGAATTAAAGGGGGGAAAAAATTAAGTGTGTTGGGGTAACATTGGTTAATAACAAATTTTAGGTGTACAACTTTCTAATAAAACATCTGTATACACTATTGTTTGCTCACCACTCGAAGTCTATAATTTCCTTCCATCAGCATATATTTGACCCCCTTCACCCTCTTCTCCTCACACACTTTCCCTCTGATAACTACCAATCTGTTGTTTTGACTCAGTTTAAATGCGATTTGAAGATGGCTTTGGGCATCTTCCAAAAGCTGTTCTTAACTGTGAGAAAATTAAAATACTTCAGCTTCTAAGCCCCTGGGAAGTATGAATAGCTTTTCCTGTACATCGAACTTGAACTTTCTGAGCCATATTAACAGCCTTAAACAATATAGTGGTACACCCTACCCCCCCATACCTGCCAAAATTTAGCAAATCTAGTATTTGCTAAACCTGGTAAATAGGCAGCCACCACAGGATGGGCAGGAAGAACTTAAACAAAAGCTATTTAATAAAAGAATATTTTTCTTATAAAACCTGAGCTGGGATGATTAAAATCTAAGTTTAAACTCCTGGAGTGAGAACCTTGCAGTCATGGCACCATATTCCTGCAATCCTGGGTTGCAGCAGCTAGAGAAAGTTCTAGAACTTTCTGACAATTGGGGTAGGGACGAGAAGCTCCCCCAAAGGATTATGGGCTTCGGAGCATCCAAAGGAGGTGAAGTGTCCTGAATGGGTCTGTTTGGGGGCTGCCAGGGTTTGAAAGGGGGGAGCTGTGCCTGCTAGTCATCCTGTAAAGACCAAACTACATACTGACCTTGCATCTCCACAAGTTCAGTGAACCTGGGCATTAACCAAAAGAAGGGAAAGGGACTTTCTGGGTCTAAGTCTCATTATTGTGATAGAAAATAAGCAGATCTTAAAGGTTATATGGGAACATTATATCTGTAACTATATACAATATGTAAATTTTTAAAATGTTTTCTGAACATTTTCAAACATACATAGAATAAGCTCCCACATACCTAATATCTAGATTGAATAATTAGTATTTTGCTAAATTTGCTTCATTTGTTTTTTAACTGAAGTGTTGTTTTAAAGTAAATCCTGGACGTAGTATTTCTTCCTTAACTATTTCCATATCCAATTTCTTTAAAGTTCTTTTAAAAAAATATAATCATAATACTTTTATCACACCTAACAAAATCAACAAAACTTTTTAAACATCATTTTGTGGTCTGTATTTAAGTTTCCTTAATTGCCCCTCAATTGTCTTTTACAGTTGGTTTGTCTATTTGTTCAAATAACTACCCTCACCTTTAGTAAGTTTTCTTAGACCCCTTAGTCAGGGTTAATCATCTTTCTTTGGCACCAGAAAGTAGGGTTAAAATTGTTTATGCACTAAATTGTAAGAACCTTGAAGTAAGAGACTTGTGTTTATTAATCTTTTTAATTTACCATGACCCCATTCTCAGAATAATGCCGACTACTACAAAATAATACTGCATTTTGAAAAGAAATGATATCAGCAAAGCCGTGTTCTGAGTTTAAGACATTACTAGGCAAGGGCTTTACATTTTAATTTTAATTTGTGGGTCATGATACATTACTGTAAGAGTTCTTCCTTCCTCTCTTCCTTCCTAGAAAAACTTATCTTTAATTAACAAAATGAAGCTTTTTAAAGAACTTTCTGACAAAAATAGCTTTAGAAATCCTGCTGGAGGAGCATTAAAAGGCTTCTTTGATTCTGTTCAATATAAACTAGGGAGAATTAATGTTGAATTTTATTGGAAGTATCTGATGTTATTCTAACCAATTGGCAAATGTCTCCAGTTAGAGCTCTGGGGTTACATTGTGAGAACCCTTGTCAGAATAAGTGGTGAGAAGCTACATTTATGATCTGCCTTATATAAAACAAATCTTTGCAAATAATAATTACTATTTTATTGAATGCTTACTATAGGCAAGGCAGAATGCCACGTACTTTACATACATTCTAACATTTTTTTCCAACTCCCTCCTGAGTTAGGTTTGTCCCCAGTTTACAGATATACAAACTGAGATCCATAAAGGTTAAGTAGTTTCCTTGGAGTCGGTCAGCTAATAAAATATGTCAGGGCTGGGCTCTGAACTCAGGTTCCTTTGAATGCAATGCCCATGTCTAGAACTAAAATGGGGTTGAAATAGCTGTGTCTGACTCTTTCTGGAGACAGGATGTTTCCATTTTAACGTTAACTCAGTTTGAACTTGAAAAAGTTTTAAACTAATTGTTTTAAAATAACTATTTTTAAATAACTGAGCTTGCGTGCTTGGCTTAAGTGCAGTAGCTGAGAGCCGGGTGCATAAAGAACAGTAGTGTTGAGTGCCAGGCAGACCTGGGTAACCCTGATAGTAACTCCGCCACTTACTGGCTATGTGACTTGAGCACTTCTGAGCCCAAATAACATGTCGAGAAGGTTCCGGCACAGTGTCTGGCACACAGCCCCTGGTTTAATAGAATTATCGTTAGCATGATCTGGTTTTGCAGCCACTGGCATGCTCTGTGCAAGGTGAGGCTGCTAGCTTAGGGATGAGTTAAAGGGGACCTCAAGACGGAGCCCGCCGACTGGGTCATCTCAGAGATGGACCTTATTCTGGAAACCTTAACAGCTGATTATTTTCTTTATTGTTCTCTCTCATCTCCTGACTATTTTAATGGGGGGAAAAAAAATCAGGACACCATGAGAGTTATTCTGAAAGACACTTTACTATTTAATTTTAATGATCTTCATATGTAATTATCTTCATAAAAACTGTACATCACTTTTTTTTTGTAGTTTTTAATGGGATTGGATTATTTCTAATTCACCTGCCTGCACTTGAGAGCCTCTGGGGTGGGGGATCCCCAGCTCTGCAGCTCCTTTTTCGGACTCCCTTTTAGAAGTATTGGTTTTCACCCAGGCCGTGGCCATCAGGGCTCCCCTTGTTCTCAGTTCCACCTCCTCGCAGGCTCCAGGAGTGGCTGGGAGCCATCCGGAGTACCAATACCCAGCCCTCGAGGTAAGAACCGCCGCGAGTGGCACGAGGCGCCGGCACCCGCGTTTGGCGGCGCAGCGTCTGCGGGCACTGCGTCCTGCAGGGGGCGCCCGGGCGCCGAGCTGGGTGAGCAAGTCAGGTCGCGCAAGACCCCCGCCCCGGCCGCGTGACCTGAACACCCTGGCCCGGCCCTTCCGGAGCGGTTGTGGTCGGTATATAAGGAGCGGAGGCTCGGCTTCTGTTTGGTGTTGGGCGTTAGCATCGTCTGCCCGCGTCGTTCTGCTCTCCAGGTGAGCCGCCCTTGGGCGAAGGCGCTGCCGAGCCGGCCCCAGGGACCTTTCGGACAGAGTACGTTGGCCCTTCTGGGGCCCACTAGGTTGGAGCCTAGTGGCTGAAGTTTTGATCAGTATCTTGGAGTTTTTATTCTAGCTGAGGTCATCATGAACTTATTCCAACTCCTGATGAAAAAGAAGGAAGTAAGTTTTTAAAGCAATTGAAAATCTTGCCTAAAAATATTAATTTTTAAAGATAAACAGATCTTTAAAAATTTGAAGATTTTGAAGAAAGTACAAAATACATAGCTATTGTTGTATTTGACACGTTTTACGTTGAAACGTAGGAGTATTTACCCTCAACCTGTTCTCTACTAGCTTATTCCTTTGGCGGTGATCATGACGGCGGCAGCGAGTGGAGCGTTGTCTTTTGCTCTATATTCCCTTAAAAAAACCGATGTGATGTAAGTAGGCACCATTTATAAAAACGTTTTTAAGCAGCGTTAGGATGACCTTCAGCTTATGAAATGGGAGATATCAGTTTCCTAGCTTTTATCCCAGGAAGAACGTTAACTTGTGAACTTGGAGTCAGGGCTAGAAAGCATACTAATATCAGCAGACTATTAAATTATGATATTAATAAAATTAGTTCATTTCTTGTATCTAAATATCTTTAGACCCATTGCCCTCCCCCCCTTCTCCTGCAGCGAAGTTAAATTTGATTTTTTTAAACTTAAGTTTTGAAATGTAAAGTTCTTACATTGTCTTTGGGATATAGATCATCAAACCAATCAAAAATTTTAATGAAATTTTAAAATTGCAATATATTAGAAAGATCTTTCCTAATGTGGTAGAGTTTATGGATTCAGTTGTCTGCAGTGAACCTAATCTCAGCTCTGGATATAAGAAGGTAAAATACTGTGTATCCTGGAATATGAGGAAGAGAGAAACTTGAAATTGAACTTGCCTGGTATAGAGTAATAATGCTAGGCTCTCATAGAGGGGCCTAGAGCTCTGCAGTTCACCATCTATAGAGTTAAAACCCAGCCCTTCTGCTGGTCCCAGAAATTAGGGCAAGAACATATTTGTTTGCTCTTAGCCCGGTACTTCTACCTCCATTGCTATTCAGCTTATGAGAACATTCTCCAGGATAGCCCAATAAAGGGAATACAGACCTCCTACCCTACAAAGGAATTGATCCCTAATGTTTGAGCCAAACTGTGAAGCTCTTTTAAAGAATCTTCCATCAATTTCAGTTAACTAATAAATGAATGCCTTAGCATGCAGTCTGGGTCTGTCCCTAGCATGTTTATAGACCCAATATCAGAGTTGGTTTAAATGAACGTATTTTAATGTTTAATCGGCTTTCTTTTATTTTTAGCATTGATCGAAAAAGAAATCCAGAACCTTGGGAAAGTGTGGATCCTAATGTACCTCGAAAGGTATTGCTGAGTTAAAAAGTGATTTACATTTAGCCCAAGCCTTAGCATCATTGTCAGTAAAATAAATTGAATGCCTTTCACTTTTAAGGTGCCCCTTCGTGTAGTGTTAAAGAGAATGCTATAGAGTTGTAGAGATCTAGTTCAAATCCTTGCTCCATTATTCAAAGTTGATTTTAGACAACTTGGCCTCTCTGAGGCTCTCAGAATCTGTAAAATGGGCACAGTAATAGGGCTCTACCTCAGGGTTAAGAGAATAAAAGAAGATAAAATACAGAGTCCTTTAACACAGTGTCTAGCCCATGGTTCATACTGAAATACTAACTTTTATTATTATTGTCATATGTTATCTAATTTTATCCATTACTTATCTAAAGTTAATCTAAAGTCTATTGTGATAAATAACAAGAGTTCCTGAAAACGAGTGCCATTCTCTTTAAGCAAAAGTAGCTAATATTCACTCATTCTTTTAATACTATTGCAAAGGTTTTTTACATTTTAAATGTTTTGAACGTAAGAAACATTTAGTCTGGAATGAATACTACTTAAGTCTGTCAGGGAAGCTTTTTGTTTTTTTTAAACAAAACTTTCAAATAACACAGTTTGACCTAGCGAGGACATTTAGGATCTTTTATTTTATTTTTATTTCTTATATTTTTTCCTTAATTTTTTTTTCATTTTTTTATGGTGACATTGGTTAACAAAATCCAATAAGTTTCAGCTGTACACTTTAACAGTAAGGCATATATATTTACACAGTGTGTTCACCTCCCATAGTTAGATTTCTTTCTGTCACCACATATTTGACCCCCTTTATCCCATCTACCTTCCCCCTCCCCTCTCCCCATCCCCTCTAGTAACCACTAGCCTATTATCCATGTCCATGAGTCTCTGTTTGTTTGTCCTGTTCATTTGTTGCTTTTAGGTTTATATCCCACATATAAGTGATAACATGTGGTTTTCAACTTTTTCTGTCTGGCTTATTTTGCTTAGCATGATTATCTCAAGGTCTATCCATATTCATTTAGGATTTTAAAAAACTACCTACATGTCCTAGGTCCTAGGGTAATAGAAAACTTCTGAAGATAAATGAGAATCTCTGAATGTGAGCTCTTTGGGAGTTAAGGACTGTCTGCAGCTCTGTCCCTTTTCCTTTATAATATAACTTGGATCATTTGTACCTTTATTGAACAATTACAATGAGGAAACTTTGTTAAGAGCCTATATATGCCACACCCTGTGCTAAGAGCATTATACAACCACTTACAGGGAGCAGACTCACTTTTTGAACTTATAGTTCATGTAAAACCATGGGAAATTAAAAAATCTAGATCCTGTTAAGTGAAAACGGGGCAAATATATAAGACCTTTCTCTCTGATCTGTAACACACAGGGACATGAGGGTTTTTAAGAGGGACAGAATGGTAGAAGTCAGCACATTATTGTTTTTTCATGTTTTAGGGATGGGAAGATTACAAATGTTACATATGGCGATGCTTTTTGTAAAGAGTATAGACAAATCCCAAAAGGGGGTGTAAGGAGGAAGGACAGATCCTAATATAACACTGTTATTTTGCTTTTTTGTTTAAGCTTATAACAATCAACCAGCAATGGAAGCCCATTGAAGAGTTGCAGAAGGTGCGAAGGGCGTCCAGATGAGCAGTCCTCACCTCTTTCTTCCAAAGAGTGCTCTATGAATCTAGTGGAAACACTTCTGCACAAACTAGACTATGGATACCAGTGTGCAGAAATGCTTCTGCTACATTTTTAGGGCTTGCCTACATTTTTGGACTCTGAATAGGAATTATAAAGGTAGTGTGGTAATAACCACATAGTCCAAAAATAGGTTTCTTATTGTAATTTGAGTTTTGCATATTGAAAATGTTATGTTTGTGATGCCTTGAATGTTTTCCTTAATGTGTATACACATTTATAAGTTAGATTATCTATAATAAAATAACATTTGTTTCAAATTTCTTAAAGATTAGATACATATCTTAATAGAGGGAAAGTCTTTTTATGAGAGAAAAACATTTTAGAGCATAGAGCTTCCTATTTTAATTAATATCCAGTACAAAGTTCTGTATAAACTTTTCTTTCAAGTTTATTCATTCACCAGAAATTTATTGAGCACCTATTGTTAGCTAGGTACTGTTGAGGTTCAGGCGAGATAAAGCAATGAACTAAACCAAATTCTGGAGGGAGATGAATAAAAGATGGTAAGTACGATGAGGACAGTGAAAAAGAGATGGGGTATGAGGCTTACAGGAAGACTGGTTTTGGAGGAAGTGCGGAAATTCTGGTGGTGAACAGGAGTGTGGGGCATGCTGAGGCTGGCCCTGCCCATGGCAAGGCTAACAATAGTGCTCCTGTGAGGGTTGTGGAGGAGAGGATGGAGAGCACCCTACAGGGTCTGGGACCCCTCTTCACTCTAGCCAATGGTAACTTAGAGACCAAAGGTGCAGTCAAACCCAGCATGCCCCTGGGTTCCCCTTTAACTGTTCTAAAAAATGGGTTTCCATTAACTTTTTTTTTTTAATGAGCTATAATTCACATATCATAGTATCCATCCATTTAAAGTGCACGATTCATTGGTTTTACAACCATCTCCACCATCTAATTCCAGAACATTTTCATCACTCCCCAAAAGAACCTTGTACCCATTAGCAGTTATTCCCCATTCCTGACCCCTCTCCCTCTAGCCCCCGGCAAATACTAATAAACTTTGTCTCTATGGATTTGCCTGTTCTGGACATTTCATTTAATGGAATTATACATTATGTGGCCTTTGAGTCTGGCTCTCTTAGCATAATGTTTTCAAGATTCATCCATATTATACCATGTTTCAGTATTTAATTTTTTTTTTATGACTAATTTCATTGTATAGAGATACCATATTTTGTTTATCCATCAGTTGATGGACAACTGTGTTGTTTGCACTTATTGGCTATAATGAATAACGCTGCTTTGAATATTTGTATTCGTTTTTGTGTCAACGTATGTTCTCCATTCTCTTGGGTATATATCTAGGAGTGGAATTGCTGGCCAGAGTGGTAACTCTATATTTAACTCTTTGAGGAACTGCCAAACTTGTCCAAAGCAGCCGTTCTATTCTATTTATATTCTTCATGCAAACATTTATAATAACTATTTGTTATTATAAGTAATTTCTTACCTAGTGAACTGGATTCTATTTGAGATATTGTAAGAAGTATGTATTTGGTCATTCAGATGACCAAAATATATTTCTCATATATATTTGGTCTTCATCCACAGTCCCTGGCTCACAGCTCCCTAAACCCTTGGAATTTCCTAAGTCTTGAGAGTGATAAAGGTGTCTTCTGTGATGTGAATGAGGTGACTTTCAGAAGCACCGAAGAATGGGGGCTGGTGGCCAGGAGAACCAACCAAGTGATTAGAGGGCTGGAACTTTT